ATGGACTTTATTGTGGACGCCGATGCCAACAGCGCCGCCGCTGACGTTATTGTCTTTGTCCGCGAGGCCATCGAACGGTTGCCCCAACTCCGCGAAAGCCTGCTCAACCAACTCCTCGATAGCTTCCATATGATTCGCACCCCCGTTGTCTCGGGAGCGGCGCTCTGGATTGCCGGCGAGTATGCACACTCGCTCAAACAGGTGCAGCAGGCCATGTCTGAAATTCAACGCGCCATCGGCGAACTGCCAATTGTCGAAAGCGAGGCCCGTGCTGCTGCTGCGCTTGCCGCCGGCGAATTTGAGGCTGCTGCCCCGTCCTCCGCCGAAGCGCCATCGCTCAGCGCACCCATGCCCGCCAAGCGTCTGGTTGCGGCTGACGGCACCTACATTACACAGAGTGCCCTCTCGCAAGCTCGTCCTTCGGCTTCTGCTGGCCCTGTGGGTTCGCGCTCAGACAAGCCGGCCTTGCGTGCCATGTACCTCGATGGCGACTACTCTACCGCTCCCATCCTCGCTTCGACGCTGGTCAAGCTTGCCCTGCGCGCTCGCGAGCTCGCTGCTGCCGAGCCGAACGGCGTCCCTGTTAGCAATGCGTTCTCTGCTCAATGTATGCTCATTCTCGCCAGTATTCTGCACTTGGGCCGCTCTGGCTTGGCGACCGCCGAGATTGACGACGACGTGCACGAACGCCTCATGGTTTGCGTGCGTGTGCTCGCTGATCCCGACGATCCTATTCTTGCCGGCATCTTCCGTCGTGACTGCCACCATGCCTTCTTGGAAATGCTGCAAGCGCAGCGACAACGCGAAGAGGAAGCCAAGGTTGCCGACTCGAAGAATAAGAAGGCGGCCATCCAAGCCGACGACATGATTGAGTTCCGACAGCTCAAGCCCAAGGGCGCCAGTGACTTGGGCTCCACAGAGGACGAGTTTGAGGTCTCGTTGCAACGCGCCAAGGGCGCCTCAGATGGAGCTTCTGCCGAGGGCGAGAGCTCTGCCAGCGCAGTTGACATGACAAAACTGAGCCGCGTCTTCCAGCTGACGGGCTTCTCGGATCCCATCTACGCCGAAGCCTACGTCAACATCAACCAGTATGACATTGTGCTTGATGTGCTTGTTGTCAACCAGACCAACGACACGCTGCAAAACCTCACCATCGAGCTCACCACCATGTCCGATCTCAAGCTGGGCGAGAAGCCATCCACGCACACTATTCGGCCGCACGACTTTTGCACCATTCGCGCCAGCATCAAGGTTTCGTCCACAGACACTGGCACCATTTTCGGCAACGTTGTCTACGACATTGCTGGCTCTGCTGCTGCCGATCGCAACTGCGTCGTCTTGAACGATATTCATGTTGATATTATGGACTATATCGTGCCCACCAGCTGCTCGGACGAGGAATTCCGCTCCATGTGGGCGACCTTTGACTGGGAGAACAGTCTTCCTGTTCTCACTGGTCTGACCTCCCTGACCGACTATTTGCACTATTTCGAAAAGATCACCAACATGAAGACGCTAACCACCGATGCCGCTTTGATGTCCGATTCCGGCATTCTTGTTGCCAACCTGGCAGCCAAGAGCTTGTTTGGCGAGGTAGGCACTGTTTTGGAGTATTTCAAGATTTTGTTTTCAATGCTTGGTTTATTTTTATTTTTATTTGATTGTTGTTCTCGGGCGTCTTGATCTCACGCTGTGCTTTTTGGTGTCTTTTTATTATTATTATTTTTATTGCTGTAGGATGCGCTGGCCAATCTGTCGATCGAGCTCACTGGCGAAGGTCGCATTGTCGGCCGCGTTCGCATTCGCAGCCGCACACAGGGCATCGCCGTCGCCCTTGGCAAGAAGTTTACTCTTTCGCAATCCTCAGTGCCGCTGCCTCCTTCCAAGCCAGCTGCGCCTGCTGAGGTTGCTGCAGAAAATGATGGCGAGACTGCCGAGTAAACTTGTATCTGATATGATTGTTTTCTATTATTCTTGTTGCCTTGTCGTTTCTTTTGTATGCTTTCCTTCCTTCCTTCCGCGTTGAAGGAAGTGGAGCTTGCAGCCTTGTCCTTCTTCTTCCCAACACAAACGTTTTGTTTAGGTTTGTTTTGTTGGACGGTGGTTGTTTTTCTGTTTTTGTTTTGTTTTTTCTCGATGGTCTCGATTTGTTGGGAAACTTTATGTTCAATATACTTGTTGTCGTCGATTGCTGTACGCGTCTTTGATTGTTTGGTTGGCTATTGTGCAGGAAAGCGCCTTGAATATTGGATTGACGCTGTACCATTTTGCAGAATGACTTTGGCGTGCATGTCCTGTTGCCGACTTGTTTCAAGACGTTGCTCCCCTTTGCGAAAGTGAAGTTGCCTTCGAAATTAGCAATCTCAGTGGGAAAGTTCTCGAGTTTGAGCAAGAAAACACTGACATTGGCAGGCGAAATGGGATTCGATCGCAGGCATGAAACTACACTTTCTCATCCTGCTCCAATCGCGCGTACCTCGATTGGACAATATGTCATAATATCTCAGAACACTACAAGTCGAGAAAAGAAGCACGAAACACCGCGAAAAGCCACACAAACGGTGAGGACAAGCTCACTCGTTTCGTGTTATCGCCTGTCCTGTCGCTGCATTGGCCTCTTTTGCCCCGCTCGTTGCTTTGAATAATACTAGAATGAGTGGCCGTCCTAACGCCATATTGTACTTTGGTGTGCGGGGCGCGGTTTCTGTCATTTTCAAGCGAACATTCGCGAAAAATGAAGCCGGCCGCAGGCGTTCTTTGAACGCTAGGTTTTCATGTTGTTACTGCCACTGGACTGGAACTGCTGCGACATTCTTTGAGCATAACTTCACGACAATGAATGCGCTAATCATCATACTTCACAATTTTTGTCACAGGCCGGTATCAAGCTCGCGGAAGTGACACCCATCGCGACAAACAACGCTACAACCGATCAACTTCGTTTTTCAGCGCACACCGCACGCTTGACGTCAGCACTCACTTGTATTACATTTGAATGATTTTTGACACGCATTGATGTGCAGCGAGGACCGAGTGCCGCAAGACTGCCAGCGGTACAAGTAAAGGAAGTGACCGATTTGAGCTCACTTCTGTTTTTACGTCTCAAGATTGGCGTGGCTGTATCTGCACCCAGTGCGCAGCCGCCGTTGAAGCGGATCCATGACTGGTTACAAGTATGGCTGACGCTACAGACAGACGTCTCCACCGCAAGCGCGGTCTGCCCGCTGACAAGAGGCTGGAACTGCACCAAGTTGGCCATGCCCAGAGCTGCTGCCATCTCCAAAGCACTTCATCATGATGCCATGGCGTTTGAATATATGTGAATATTGTATCAATTGTATTTGTAGCTAGAATGAGAGATATCCTGAGTGAAGAATTGGTGCACTGGTGCAGTCCTTGAGTGGTCGCTCGAGTTGGAAGGCTTATCGACGATGTGCCGGGTCTCCGGGCCGGCGTTGGACGCGACAAGGCTCGCAAAGTGGTTTTACTACCCGAATGTCTCTTTGTATGCTGAAAAAAAGTGCTCGGCGACGTGGAGAACGGGTTGGCCGTTCGAGGTCGGTCGAGCGGCGAATGCGTTCTGAATAGCACCATGGCCACCGCTGGCGTTTCCACTTGATTGGTTGACAAAGATGACGATACTCAAAGAAAAGTGCCAATCTGCGAGTATCACCAAGTGACTCTGAGTGCATGCGAGTTTGAAATTGCTCGCTCGTTTGCTTTTGCTCTGACCGCATCCCTCCCACCCCGATTCTGTTGGGATTTGTGATGAACATGTATTCAATTTCGATCATACTTTTTTGCGTACTTGTACCGCATGCGTTCTGTTTTGAGTGAGGAGGGGGACAGTCGTCGTTCGCTGCTTTGATTGAACAACACTCTTCCAACATGATGTCGTATCAGAATATGAATCAGAGACAGCGCGAGTTGTATGACCAATTCAAGAACGCGAGTGGAAGGCTCCTGTAAGAGAAAGGCCCGAGTTGATTTGGAACACAGTTTTGACAGCGCGAGTGTGCTGACGAGAATGGAGGGATGGACAGTTTGCACAAGAGTCAGATTGGCGATGAAGAAGCGAAGGCGATTGCTGAGGCACTCAAAGTGAACACGACGCTGATACAGCTCTCGTAAGCCACCTCCCTTTGACTGATGCATGTGAGTGAGTGATCCAGAAGAGTGCTCACTGATGGAGGGGAGAAACAGTCTGTGGGCGAATCGGATTGGCGATGCGGGAGCGCGAGCGATTGCTGAAGCACTCAAAATGAACACGACGCTAACTGAGCTCGGGTAAGCCATTCCACTTTGACTGATGTGTGAGAGTAGGCGATTCAGAAGAGTGCTCACCGATGGAGGGGATGGACAGTCTTCATCAGAATCAGATTGGCGATGCTGGAGCGCAAGCGATTGCTGAGTCACTCAAAGTGAACAAGACAGTGACTAAGATCTAGTAAGGCATCTCACTTTAATTGAAGTTTGCGAGGGGTGATCCATCAGAGGGTCGTCAGAGTGCTCATTGGTGGATGGGATGGACAGTCTGTACAGTAATCAGATCGGCGATGATGGAGCGCTGGCGATTGCTGAAGCACACAAAGTGAACACGACGCTGACTAAGCTAAGGTCAGGCATCTCACTCTTGTTGGTGCACGAAAGTGGGTGATTCAGAAGAGTGCTCATTGCAGGGAGGGGATGGACAGTCTGTGGGCGAATCAGATTGGCGATGCGGGAGCGCGAGCGATTGCTGACGCACTCAAAGTGAACACGACGCTGACTACGGTCTAGTAAGCCATTCCACTTTGACGGATGCATGAGAGTGGACGATCCAGAAGAGTGCTCATTGATTGCGGGGATGAACAGTTTGCACCAGAATCAGATTGGCGATGCTGGAGCGCAGGCGAACGCTGAGGCACTCAAAGTGAACAAGACGCTGACAAGGCTTAAGTAAATATTGATCGCTTCACGATGTTCTGACAGCCATTAGACTCATACTCCAATATGATGATGTAAATGACAACAACAACAGTTTGTCCCAGAACTTCCTGACCAACGTTGGAATTATTGCACTCAGGCAAACGGCCAATACCGATTGTAACGTCATGTAAGACTGCTTGTTTATGGGATTCTTGCATGAACAACAAGCCAATCACCTGCATGGCGAACTTGGGCTTCTTCGCTGGAAGTTTTGACAACCAGCGTGTTCCGTCGCCTGCCGAACGGGCGCAGATGGCAGCTCGTGCAGCAGCACACGCTCAGCCCCAACTTTCTGTCAATCTTGCAGCTGAAAATCAGCAATTGCGCTCCGAACTCGCTGCCAAAGAGCAAGTCCTCGCTACCAAAGACCAAGAGCTCGCAACGAAAGACCAGGAGCTGCAACAACTTCGCTTCGATCTCGCTGCCAAGGACCAGAAGTTCGCAACAACAGAGCTGGAGCTCGTTGCGAAAGAACAACAGCTTGCTAACAAAGACCAGGAGCTCGCCGCCAAAGACCAGGAGCTCGCTGCCAAGGATCTTGAACTCAAATCAGCTCTTAATCAAATCGATGTACTTGAACGCAACCAACCAGCTGATGGATCTTTTTCGAACTTTGACGGACCCGTCCCACAAGTGCCTCTCGCAACTCTCGTCTCCGCCACGAACAATTTTGCCGCTGATTCTCTGCTCGGCGAAGGAGCATTTGGTCGCGTGTACAGCGCCAGTCTGCCTGGCCCTCGTGTTGCCATCAAAAAGCTATCCGCCGAATCCAAGCAAGGCACGGTCGAATTCAAGTCGGAACTGGACTCTTTGTCCAAATTCCGCCACGCAAACATTATTGCCATTCTTTCGTATGCAGAAGAAGGCGACGAGCGATGCCTGGTTTACGAATTCATGCCCAACGGATCGGTCCGCGATCGCTTGAATCGCAAAAACAACACTCCTCCGCTGACTTGGTCTCAGCGCCATCGCATCGCAGCTGATGTTGCCCGCGGCATGCACTACGTCCAGACAGCCTTCCCCGATCATGCACTGTTCCACCTCGACCTCAAGACAGACAACGTGCTTTTGGATGAGCATTTCAATGCAAAAATATCTGATTTCGGTCTCGTCCGTGCTGCCAAACACCTCGATGATAAGAGCTACCTGCGTACTCAAAACGTTCAAGGCACAGCTGCTTACATGTGCCCCGAGTTCTTTGCCGAGGGCAGAATGACCATCAAGACGGACGTCTTCGCCTTTGGCATGATTCTGCTCGAGCTCGCGACCGCCGCCAAGCCCGGGCCCAGATTGAAAACTGATATGCGCAAGGCTGTGAAAACCCAGAAATTAGTTGAAATGCTGGACTCGGCCCTCAAACCAAGCGAGGCAGAGCTCCAGAGGATCAGCGAGCTTGTCACGCTTGCGATGGAGTGTCTTGACGAAGCTGCCGATGACCGTCCGTCGTTTGGTAGCATCCTTGTTTCGTTGGATCCTTGATGACAAGCGGGAAATGTGGTACTGGTGGTCTAGTGTCATGTACGAATGAGGGTTAGTCTACTTGTTCTTTTTCGCTTGTCATTTTTCAGCACGTTGCTGTTATTGTTTGTTTGTTGTTGTGGTATTGTTTGTTTGTTGCTGTTGTTATTGTTTGTTGCTTGTTGTTATGCGCAACTATTGTGAAGAAATCAGAAAGTCGAATACAGTACAAAAATCAAATCGAAATTTTAATGAACATGTCAGAAACAGCAAATCGACTACAAGTACAAAGCACAAATCAATCTATAAAATCTCTCAAAACACAAATCAACAACACACCTCTTCTCATCATCACCGCATCCAAAAAAACAAAACACAGGCGTGATGTTTTTAAAAGAGGCTGCGCATGGCGGACTTGGCAGAGCTGACGTACATGGACGACTCGGCCTTGTTGGAACGCTGCGCCCAGTGGGATTGGCCACGCGACGTCATCTCAGACCCACCGTACGAGTTGTACGCAGTAAAGCTCTCGACGCCAGTGCGGCATCGCTCGAGGTCCTTGATCAGGCCCAGAATGTAGGGATCCGTGGGGGTGAGCGAGGCGCGCACAATGGCCAGGGCAGCGTCAAGAATGGCACGAGCGGCGGCAAACGAGGCTTCGGAGCTTTCAGCGGCAGCCTTGGCAGCTGCACGCTCGATGGCGTCGGCAGCAACGACGCGGCACTTTTGCACGTCAACCTCGGTGCTCTTGGAAATGTTCGAGGGCAGCTTGGTGGCACGCTCGACCGTCAGGGTCTCGTACACCTTGTCCATCTTCATGGTGATGACATTGAGATACTCGAGGCTGCTGGAAAGCACGAGCTGCTTGGCGGACGGCGAGGCCTCGCTCAGGTCAATCTCGACAACAATGTCACGACGCTCCTCGCTCTGCAAATCGGCCAGGCGGACAACCGCGCACATGTTCTCCTCCTTGAACTCGACGGGGTTGCGGGCGTGGATCTTGCGCAGCTTGCAGCCGTTCGGCACACGGAGCTCGAGCGCGAGGTTTTGCGCGCAGACCGAGACCAGGCCACCGAGGCAGTCGCCAAACGAGGTGGCCACAGTGTCCTTGTTCTCGATAAAGTAGTACGTGCCGCTGCCAGCGTCAGAAATGGCCTTGAGCATGTTCGAGTCGGCATCCGAGCCGTAGCCGAACGTGTAGACGGTGCAGCCCTCGACAAGGTTGGTTGGAGGGCGAGCAACGGGACTGTCGGATTCGGTCTTCTGCTGCTGCTGCTGCTGCTCGGGGGTAGGGCTCTTGCGGCGGAAAAAGTTGGACAGGGAAGCTCGGCGCAGCGTCGTCGCAAGCGATGAGGATGACGACTCTGGCGCGGCAGCAGCGGCCACAGCGCCCATGGCGGCAATGATGCCCTCGGTGGTGGAGATGCCGACGTTGGCAAGGCCGTCGGTGAGGAGGAGCACGGACGAGACCTCGCGACGGCTGTCGGTGGGTCGGTTGCGCAGAATGTTCAGGCCTTCGAGGAGGCCGCCCGACAGATTGGTGGACGAGCCGTCGCGGATGCCATTGACAACCTGGGTGGCCTTGCTGCGGCCCTTGTCGTCCATCGGGGAGAGCGCCAGGTCGAGGGTGACCTCCGTGTCATACGTCACCAGTGCGAGTCGGTCGCAGGCGCGCAGCTGCGCCACAAGCGTCTCGAGCGTCTTCTTGACGAGCTCGAGCTTGGTGCCTGCCATCGAGCCGGACTTGTCAATCACGGCGACAATGTCGAGGGTCGGCCGGCGAATGTTCTCAAACGTCGGCGCCTTGAGGGTGGTCATTGCCCACACAGTCTGTGGCGCGCATGCGTAGACCGAGACCTCCGCGGTCGTCGTCATCTTGATCTGAGTGTCTGCCATTGTTTGTCTTTTTGTGAGTGGAAAC